ACAGGGGAAACCTTTATCTTTACTTTTTTTGCTTGTAAGTATTTATGCATTTTCATTGTAATTTAGCTCAATTTTACACCAAATAGTTCGTGAACACTTGCACTATATAATTAATATTTTTAATCATGTAAGAAATGTTCAGAATAACCTGAATGCTATAATTTGTACTCTCAAAAAACAAAAAATAAGCTAAGAGTCCACCACTGGATTAATAGAGTCCCATCATTTCAATCTCTAATGATTTCTTCTTGCTATTCCTCATTGTTTATATTTTTTGATAAGATTGATGTACTTATGCAAAACAAAACAAAGTGCAGACTTATTTTTTTGCAATAACAATAATAAATAACATAATTGTAAGCAAATAATATAATAGTAAGAATTAATATAGTATAGTTGCCTGCAGAAAATTCCAAATGTCAGGTGCATGTCACACAAACAGCAGATTTCCTCAGCATGCATGTCTTTATCTCAAACAAAAGGAAGGAAACTCATCTTAACAGAAGCACAAGAGATCCTCCCAGCTGCCCACTTGAAAAGTGAAAGAGTTTAGCCTTCAATATTTGTAAGAGAAACAAGGTATCAGGAATTAGAAAGAGTGCTGCAGACCATTTGATAAAAAGAAAATGATCTATAAAAGATTGGGAAAAAATCCATAAAACAAATAAGGGGAGTTTGACTTCAGATACGGGGTCTTCAAGCAGCAACCCATTCTAAGGAATAGTAAAATAGAAATATTGCATAAAATTATTTTTTTAATCTATATTTATGTTCTCAATAACTGCTCTCCAAATTGTCTTTTTATGCAATTTGGAACCTCTTTACAGAAGAGTTGCTCCAAATAAAGGCAGACTAAAATCAGACCCAAATCTGCCCAGAACCCTATAATATCCTGTACAGATTTTTGCTGAGAAATTCTTTTAACAATCTATTTGAATAATTTGCATTTGCATTAGTTTGGCCATTAAATGCTTTGCTTGTTCTAACATACATGTGCACAGCATTTACTCTCCCCAATAGATAGACATGTATTTTATTGTTTAAAATTATTTTATATTTAGTAAATTTACTATAGCACAAATTTACAATAACATACAATCAATTCAATATCTGGTGAAAAACATCTACAATTTTAATGGTCCAGAGAGACAAATAACAACATCTAAGATTTAACAGGTTTCTAAAGAGTCAAAAAAGCTTTCACCCTCCCTATGTAAAGTGCCTGTTTGATATATTTCACTATTCTATAATAGTTTTTTAGCTAGTAAGACATGAAAAAAAGATTGTTTAAGAGAAAACCAGCCCACGTAGCAAGTGTATTTTACATGTGACTTGTTTGATCACAGGGATTATAGCAGCAGAATATTGCCTTTTTTCAGCAAGTTTTTTGATTTTCCAGTCTAGGATTGAAAAACTGGATTTCCCTATGGTCTCCCATCTAAGTACATATCAGGATTGATGCCCCCTTTCCTTCTTTGCCATCAGCCAAAGACAGGAGCTGCCATCTGCTGTTGACAACAAGCATTTGGTTTTCAGTATCTGCAAGGCCTCTCAAAGCAAAAATGATCCCATCACATATAAGAGAAATGAGCGGTTTCAGCCAGAAGAGGGAAAGTTCATCGCCTTAGTAAATATGTTGTAGTATAAAAGTTAACGGGCAAAGAAGTTTTCTCTTCAGCTGGCAGTTATGTTTCATACCCCCCCTCCCCAAAGATCGCGACTGCAAAACCCGAACAATTCCTTTTTAAGTCCCGCGGAAGGGCGAGTCCGGGCAGCTACTGAGCTCCCAGGCGTAGCGGAGCGACCTTGTGGAAGAAGGAGCCGAGGCCGTTTCGGCGTTTAGTCACCGCCCGCCCTGGCAAGTGAAGCCCAACCGAGCTTCCAGGCGACTGCAGTGGACCTCGCTGTGTTTCTCCTCCTACCTGCCCGTCATGGCGGCCGTGAATCCAAAGCGCTCTTGGCCAGCGAGCTTCGGTGCGAGGGTCGTGGGGAGAACGACGAAGAGCGCGCTAGAGCGCCCTGGTCCCGAATGCAGCCGCCCCGCAGCCCGCCTGGTCTTGTCCTCCGCCCGGTGCTGGCTGCCGTGGCGGGCCGCCCCTCTAGGTCAGGACAGGCGGCCTGATCTTCCTCCCGCCCCTCGGCCCAGCACATATTTTTCCTAGAAAGGGAATGAAATAATAAATAATGAAATCGCGAGGGCGGCGGTCCTGTGCGGTGGGACTTCATAGTGCCGGGCGGTGAAAAGCAAACCGCAGTGACACTACGGCTATGGCTTGCTTGCGCTATAGGGTTGGGTTCAACTCCAGAGATACTCTTAATAGCTTGTAGGATTAGAGCGACCAATAAGTCCTGTTAAATCCACGGTACGAGTCTCATTCTGTGCCTCTGGCCATTGTAGCTCTCTTATCTTTTTAGGAATATTCTTAATATCCCAATACAAATTTGTAAAGCTGCCCATCTCACAAAACCTGAATCTGGGCAAGTACAACAATAGAGCTGTTATGCTTTTAGTTCAGTGGTTCTCATTTAATTTCTTATGTCCCAACAAATACTATTACAGAATACACTTATTTATTAAATTTGTTTGCAGTCCATGTTGCTTCCAGGTGGCTCTAGGCAGCTTAAACATTAAAAGCAATATAAAACCATAAACAGGTTATGACTAAAAGGTGGTGAGACAGGGCACAGCATGTACAGGGGAAGGGGAATCTGCTATTGGTCCATTAACCATCTTCAGTGATACTCCCCAATAGGGTCAATCTTGGTCACATCAAGATAAAACAAAGACAACAATTTATGCATGCATTCTATTTTGTCAGAATATGACAAAATTTTAAGGAGATAAAATTAGTGCAATAATATTATTCACAATAGTTATTAAATTATTAATTTAAGTATTAATTAATACAATAATTAATTTGATTATGAAATTTAAATCACAAAAATAATTTTTATTACCAGTAAAGGTGTAATGAATGTATGTCTAGCACATGGGACTGAGGAATCCTACAAATTTTGATCTGTTTTTCAAGAATGAGTGTGGGGAATTTGAGAACATGAGGTAGAACATTGCGGTAATACATGGATTGGCATATATCTATAATCAATATATTATTAGACATCTGGAACTGGTGTATGTTGTAAATGACCCTGGGATTGACCAAAACAGATCAGGTGTGTTTATTGTTGCAGTTACAGTATAATATCTAAGAGTCACTGCAATAATAACCCAACCTTATTCTACTGGATTTTGCTTCCTGAACGTTTTTGGGTGTGTCTTATAGATTTCTGACTGCTAATCACGAAAATAACCTGTAATTTAACCTATCTCGTACTGTTTTATAGAAATCTTCTGTTTTTACAAAATGGTGATATAGACCCTTCAATACCTGTTGGCTATGCTGCATACATGAAAGAAACATACAAAAACATTCAATACACCAAGTACAAATGGAATATTGTGGAGAACTCAAAAGTAATGGCTCTGCTGCTTGGAATGCAGCTCAGGTACTATTTTTACTTCTGGAAATGGGAGTCATGGAAGAGTATTGCATTTTATTAAAAATCAATGAGCACTCTCAAAAAATTTGGTTCCAGCACAGAAAAATTTGGCACACGAACCACTTGTTGACCTCCCAAAATATTTTTGCCTTTGGTTCACATAAAGCTCTGAAAAATTTTGTGAGTGATGAACAAGGTGAAGGTTTTCATTATCTGGGACAGATGTTTCCAAGAATAACGCCAAGATTAAGGAAGGCATTTTTGTTGGTCCACAGATTAGATACACCATCAATGACAAGTGGTTCAAAGATCTGTTAATCAATGGGACCAGAGAAAATCATCTGGAAAGGATTCAAGGATGTTGAGAATTTTCTTGGCAACTACAGAGCACCAAACTAGATTCAGCTGGTTGATAAACTTCTTAAGGCATACAAGACCACGAAGGGCAACATGTCACTGAAAATTTGTTTTTCCTCATTCATTTGGACTTATTTCCCAAAAATTTAGGTGCAATCAGCAGCAAACATGGTGAAAGGTTTTGGGGTAATGCTTGAAATTACAGGTAGATCTGCTTAATTGCTAATGCTTTATTTTGAATGTTGATGCACCAGAGAAAATATGCTCACCACAGATGTACTACTAATGGGAAATGATCACCAATTTTTGTCCCTTTGATTACTGATTATTTGCCAACAAGTCATTTTAAGTTCCTAGTGACCACACAGATTTTTTTCCATGACCGTTTGTCCCTAACGTGGTCTTTCAGGTCTTTTTGTCCTCTTACTTTGAAATTATGAAGTAATGATCAAAATGAAAAGAACCCCTACTCTGGGGCCATTATGTTCCTGCTATGGAGTAATAGTGAAGTAATCTGACATCATCAACAAGCAGCACAACAATCTTAGAGCATTGTACATCTTAGAGCATTGTACAAAGTGCCCAGACTCACTACTAGTTCCAAGTTCTGCCCTTTTCCTAGCAATTGCCAACCGAGAGCCAAACAGGGCCATCACATCTTTTCCCGCGAATGTACAGTACTGAAGCACTGCCCCCGTTTCTCCTGCCTTCTGCGAATGCGCAGTTGATGTCTTTGAAGCCGGAAGGATGAGATAAAGGGCGTCTAGACCAGGAGTAGCCAACCGTGGCTCTTTTATGACACGTGGACTTCAACTCCCAGAATTCCTGAGCCCGCCTTGCAGGCTCAGGAATTCTGGGAGTTGAAGTCCACGAGTCATAAAAGCCAAGATTGCCTACTCCTGGTCTAGAAAATTCTCGTTCAAGCGCCCGCGAGGAAGTGGGAGAGTGGCGGGGGCAGGACTACCTGCGCAAATTCGTTCTCCGCCCATCTGAACCTTTGTATGAACGCACGCAAGCAGTTGCCTGAACGAAAATCACGTGTTTGAAGTTGGTGCCTGATTTTTTTTTAAATAGACCAAACCAAGATGGCCGACCGTCTTGCTTAGCAGGGATGCTTTGCGGAGGCGGCTGCGTCCCACAGTTACAGAAGCACCGGGCCGAAGAGTAGCCGCCTCGTCCATCTACTGTCTTCGCCTCCCGCCTGTTCCCGAGACTGCTCGTCAAGATGGCAGATCTGAACCGACAACTGCAGGAATATTTAGCTCAGTCCAAGGGCGGCGGCGGCAGTGGCTCGACGGTTTTGTCCGTTCCTCAGACGCCTCCTCAGGACGAGGCAGAAGAAACGGGCTCGGGCTTGGGCGTCTGGCTGCGGCGCATGAACCCTTTCCCCGCGACCGGAACGTGGTCGTCGTCGGCCGACCCGGAGCCGGATCCGTGGCTACCGACAAGGGTGTCCCGTTGGCAGAGACTGGTGGGAAGTGCCCTGTGTCTGCTGCTGGCTGCGTTGTGTTTCGGCCTGGCCGCGCTTTATGGCTCGCTCCTGCTGCTCCGGAAGTTTGCACTGCTCTGGTCCTTGGGCTCGGCCTTTGCGTTGGGAGCCGCTGGTTTCTTGCAGGGCCCGAGTCGCTTACTGGGCGATCCTGACCGGCGCGGCCTGGCCATCCTGTATTTGGGCTCCGTGGGCGGAACTCTGTACGCTGCTCTCGGGCTCCGAAGTACGCTGCTCACGGTGCTGGGAGCTGTGGTCCAGCTGGGAGCCGGAGCCGCCTACTTGTTTTCCGCCTTACCTGGCGGTACTGCCGGGTTGCGCTATGTCAGCAGCTTCCTGGGTAGCTTCGTGCGACGAAGTGTTTCTAAAGCTCTTCCAGTGTGAGTTAACCTGTCGTCGGAAGTCCCAACTCCCAGGCTTGGGAAGACTGCTCCCCGAGGAGGCACCCCGGGCCGCTTTTCAAAGTAACGCGGAGAGTAGGATATGCAGGCTGAATCCCAGGAGTCCTTGAATAGAAAGTTTTTTCTGCGTCTACTTGGTGAATTCCAGGAGACAAAAGACGAGATAATTCAGTTGCCTCACTGTGGCTGTTTGACTCCTAAGAAGTACTAATAAAATAAAAGATGTGACTTAAAACTGAACTGCCTACACTGGCAGGTAGAAGGAGCCGAAGGTTTTGTAGAGTATGTGTGTTCCTCCAGCCATTGCACAAACGTGCCCCGTTAACCATTTTTAAAATTTATAGTCTCACGATTTCTCTTACTCTCAGGCTATAGGAGAGGCAGCTTAACATTTCCTTTACTTATTCGTTATTGAAGCGTTTGCCCTCTTCTGACACAATTTTGGGGTGGATGTGATTAGGATGCTTTTGTCAACAATTTAATTGATGGTGCTATTAGCCTTTGGACTGCTGTGATTACCACTTCTCCATTCCAGTCAGTGGTACTGCCCTTTTGTCCTGGACCACAGAACAGACTTGGGTTAGATGAGGTTAGGTATATAATTTGTTCTTTTAGAATATTATCTGTATGGTGAAATTAGCATGTAAAGCCATACACATGAAGAGGTTTTCTGTATATGTTCTGGAATCCCATTTCTCAAAGAGTTTTGCCTTGTTGATCATTCCCATCCCCTTTACTTTATGCTACTCTTCTGCATTCCAACAATGCTTTTGCACCTGTAATGTATTTCTGAACAGCTTGAAGAAAAAAAAAATCACTAGTGTCAACTCTCTCTCCCTCATGCTGTCTCTCACTTTACCTTGCTGTATTTCTTGTTTCATGTAGTTCTCCTTCCCTCTTCACATCTTTCAAGAGTGCTAGAATGATAGTCAGAGGTTACTGATGGACTAGTCAGAGGTACAAAGTATCTTGGTGCCTGTGACCTATCTTTTGGGGAACTTGAAAGATACACCAAACCTTTGTTCCAGGCATATTATCTGCATGTGGGAGAAGGTTGCCCAATTAAACAGGAGAGCTTTCCTACTGAGCAGCCTCTGAACTCTTTAAATCCGCTGCCAGCACAACATCAGCAGGAGAGGGCTGCCCTGTACAAGACTTTCCTCTCTTGCTTTCCTACCAGCCCCCTCCTAGGTTTCAGCTGGGTCTGGATCTGGTTATCTGAAAAATTTGCCCCAAATCCAAATTAGGGCAAGTGATTGTTTTTTTCCTGAGGGACAATCAGCAGGAGAAATGGACCTAGATGAATCTATGAGTTATTTTGCTTTAATTGTCCTGCATTAAAAGTGTAAGAACAACCCAGTTTGCCTTGTTACTACATCTACAAACTACATAAATTCAGAGTTGGTGTCACAATTTTCCAGTGCAAATGTACATTCTTCACATTGTAGCCCGTAAAGCATACCTCTTACGTGTTGTATTCTCTAAAGTCAAAAGCATTATATCTAGGGAAGTATGTTTAAAATTCAAACTCAAATGCTTAACGAACTAGCACATTCTAGAAAATAATTTCTAACATGTTACATACATGCAATAACTGTCCAAATGCCTATTATTGAATAAGAAAGGTCTTATGTCATAGATGTTTTATTAATGAAAGGAACAACTTGTAAGCAAATGCTTATATTTAAGCCCCCCAGAAATCTACAGAGCTCCACCCTAGACAATTTATTCAAAAACAAGTCTTGCTAAGTCTAGTGGCACTTCCACATTCGTGCATTAAGAAGGGATCAAGTAGTGAGTTACAGATTAATAAAATGGTACTTTTTAATTTAAATTGGTGTTTGAGTCAGTGATTTGTGATAGCATATGTCATGCAATAGAAAATAGTTGTAAATCAAAAAGTTGCTAAATATTTAAATGTGGAACAAATTTTCATGCAATCATTTAAAATATTATTTGAAGAAGTCTCAGAAGTACAATAAAATAAACTTTGCAATCCTTTCTAAAGTGAGGCTTATGCCCCCCCAAAATGACTAGGATTGCAACCCAAATGTATTTGTACTATACAAATTAGTCTACAGACTTGGAGTATATTATTCTATTTCAGCTTTTCTCAGTTTTTTATTCTGGAAGAACTCTTGAAATGGTCTCAAGGAACTCCTGCATAAAAATGATAAAAAATGCAAAACCATCAGAACAATTAACCAGTGGAACAACCTGCCTCCAGAAGCGGTGAATGCTCCAACACTGGAAGTTTTTAAGAAGAAATGGTATAGGGTTTCCTGCCTGAGCAGGGGGTTGGACTAGACTTTACTACTACTACTACTACTACTACTACTACTATTATTATTATCATCATCATCATCACAATACAATTCACTTCTAACCTGTACAATTCAATTTTACAACTTTTACAACAGCAAACTGGCAGGTCAGCAGCTGAGTTGTGACATAAAAATTCCCATTATTGCAAATGCTAGGATTGTGATATACAAAGTTTTTTTTTAAAAAAAAAATAAGTTACAGTCTCTCACAGAACTGTTACAACTTCAACCTTAAGAGTTCTGTAGAACTCCAGTTCAGAAAGGCTGTTCTATTCCCTAGTGTGACATATGGGGGAAAATGTTATTTTAAAAACGTTCAATAGAATGTCTAAAATTGTGATGGATTTTTACTTTTTATGTTGAGTTCAAAGAACGTGGAAGTATGTTGTGCCAAATTACCAATTTACTAAAAAAATTTTCATTCACTATTTAAATTCCTGCACATATGAGGATAACTACTTTTCTGTGATGTTCAACCCTTGGGATTCATCAAGAATTCATTTAAAATGTACTTTTACTATTTTCTATATTTTCTTAATATTAAATTTGATCTGTTATTTTTTCATTGGAATGAAAATAGGTTTTATATCTGCTGGTTTAGGGCAAGAAAAATGAGAGATCATTATATTCATGAAATAAATCTGAAAAGCAAAACTTGCCACAGGAAAAAAAACTCCACATAGCCAACTATCTGTGGTGACAACTTGCCACAGTTGTCTGGCTGGCAGCCAGAGGGAGACCCAAGTGAGCAGCTAGGCCAGGGATAGGCAACCTCGGCTCTTTTATGATTCATGGACTTCAATTCCCAGAATTCCTGAGTCAGCTATGCTGACTCAGGAATTCTGGGAGTTGAAGTCCATGAGTCATAAAAGAGCCGAGGTTGCCTACCCCTGAGCTAGGCAGAGCTCAGAGCCATCAGGGCAGCCAGTGGGGAGACGGCAGTGGCTGGGAGCTCCCCATATTCACACACTCACTGCCACGCTGGCCTCAGCTGCTGCCGCACTGTGCTCAAAACTGCCACTGCTAAGCCAGGCTTGGAGCCACTGCCAAGGTGGCAGCAGCAGGGCATATGAAAATGGGAAGACCTTGGCTGCCAGCTCCCCTCCACCCACCCCACCATGCTCTGCCCACCTGGTCACCTGGCTCTCCCTCCGTCTGCTCACCATGCATTGTGTGGAGGTGGCAAGCTGGTGGCAGCATGTTGGCCAGTGAGTTGCCCTAGCCTAGACCCCAGAATTTAGACTTCTTAACTATAGTGAAGACAGGAAAACAAGTTTAAAAAAAAGGTACCATCCTGCTTTTTTATTAGTCTGTGCTTGTTTACTCCTTACTTTAAGCTTGTTTAAATTAATGCAGTCTATCCTGCTGAATTTGTCATTACAGCGGTGAGACAAATTTATTTCTGAACAGGAATAGGTATTCCCAAAGCTAACTGATGTCCTCTACTTGGTAAGGAAAAGTCAAAAATATTCAAAATAGAATAGGCTTTATAATTTATCTACCCAAAATGGAGAAATATCTGTACATCATATGTACTTGTTCTATACAAACTTGTATAATTTGTCATTTTTCCTCAAAGAAAAACATTTAAGAGTCCTTTACAAGGTGGCTTAATTCACTTTTCTTTAACTGTAACTAATAAGTGGTGTGTAGGTATCAAACATTGGTTTGATTTTGTGACTCTTACGACTTGCAAAAATGAAGAAATATGCCTGTTTTGCATACTTCTAATGAGAATGATTGCCTTGTTCATTGTGTTTTGAATAAGTTGGTTGGCTTACTGTACAGCTGACCCTAAAATATTTTAAATTCTTATCAAGGCTAGGTTTTTAAATTAATGTCTTACCTAAATCATATTGATCTTTTAATGGCTCAACATCTATGTACACAACATATAGAAATTTCTAGGCTGCAATTGTTTATACATTTTATAATAAATCCTATCATATATATTAGGCTAGTTATCTGCCTTGTTTTTATGCCAAATCATGATGGATTCGCACATCATGCTAAGCAAAACAAAACAAAACATATTGTGATGTGTAAAACCAATTTTTGATAAATAAAGCTTAAATTGTCTCAGAATCAGAATACTGGATAATAAACATCTCAACTGAGGACATTTTATTGTAAAATAAATGTAAAACAGATACAGTACTATAATGGAAAGAAACGGTACTTACACCTTTAAGAAAAATATGGAAAATATGTAAAGGCTTTTTAAGGTTATGTCTAGGTATTCAGACTATAGTTAGGTATTCTTTCTTGATATTTCTGAAGCTATGTTCATCTATTTTAAAAAATAATGTTAAATGGTTTGGTTAAATTATAGCTTCAGAAACAACAAATTCAAGTCTTCAATTTAGAAGCCCATTCAGATTCTTCAAAGGTTTTCATTAGGGGTTAGCTACATTTCTTTCTTATTTGAGGTCTTCCATTGCATTTCAAAGTGGTCAGATGGCAGAATATTGGGATGTTTTTCTGAATAAATCAGAACTGATCATTAATTAACAGATCACAGAACAATGTTCATATGTTTTAACTATAAGTCCTTATTGTACCATATACAAATATCTCACTCTATGGACCAAGAAGTACTCAGGGAATCTGTACATTAAACTTTTCTGCTCGTTCTGGTTACGGAAGGGAAAGACATTCCTAGTAATTAACAAAAGTTACTTTCATTTATATATTTTTATAACATGCTAACTGAACATGTGAGGCTTAAAAATTTTGTGTAAGTAACTGTGATAGCTAGTTCTGTGGCAGTGCACGTATCCAACACAGAATATGTCCATAGAAATTTTAGGAGACAGTTCCTCTATGATATGTGAAAACGTGTATAGAAAAATCACACACTCTTGTTAATTTTTGGACAAATTGCATTCTGTAT